GAGTGATGTTACCGTACGTTCTAGACAGGGGCGAACCCACTGAGGTAGTGGTGTCACTTGACACCCGTAAAATATGTCAAAAAATTTCAATGCATGGTAATATTGATAAAACAAGAAGTATAGTTGATAATTTCTACTTAATCATGACCCCACAAAAATTACGTTCATTACTTCATTTGATCCCTTTGTTTTATATTTATGTCTTATTTTTCTAATATGTTCTTAAACATCATGACATTTTAAAAACATTATACTATATCTTCTTTGTTGATTACATAGAATATAAAAATTGGTAATCATTATGAAAAAAATTTCGTCATTAACTCACGGATGTACGAGAACAACATTATTACAAACTACATTAAGTTATACATTCTGGTAAATTACAGTATATGTAATATACAATATGTTATTGATTTTTAACATTATACTATGACTTTGGTAAAAAATATTTATGAATTCGCCACCGGTTCTAGAGTAGGAAAGAGAGGTAGTGAGCGACAAGAGTAGTACTGTGGAACTGGAGTTTTTGTCCTACGAAGAGCCGACACTTACATATATGTTCTCCACACTAACATATTTCCAAAAGACTCACTTTTGTTTTCGATTGTTATTGATACCTATTTCACTATCATTTTATATATATCGACAGACCACGCATGCCCATTTTACCCTACCATTTGCATGCTCCATATGCATGTCTTCGTCTACAAGCACATTATACACGATAACACGACCGATCACTTCTGATTGTTACTAAATTTTATGAAATCTTTGAATTAAGTTTTTTTTTTTAAATCATACCAAGTACTCCCTATGCATATATGTAATTTTTTTTTTAAAAAGTACNCAAATATGTAAATGATGCATAGATTATATACTAATATCATGTGTGGACGATAGAGATGCATTGGATCCATTTATATATTTAAACAAATTAGGTGTCAATCAAATGACAATGTAGCTGGTTATATGATTGCATTTATTATAACGCTATACAGAAAATAATTTAGGCCTCAAAGTATCATATATATAAAAACTACAAAATCAAATATCATTCGACGATCTTTGTGAACCAATATGGCATTTGAAGATCCTTTAATAGTATCATATTGGTTCAAAGGATCATATTGGTTCAAACCACTCAAATCATATTTTTTTTAAAAGGATCATATTTGAAGAGTCTATACGAAGGGTTTGGTGCCAAAAGAGAAGGGGAACATGGATGGACCACACTTTTTTTTTGTATTATTAAAACTAGTGATTGCCCACGCGTTGCGTGAGATTTAAAGTAATTAACATGATAAAATATGCAATAATGTATAATGTATTGATTATTTGTGCATTTAATATCATATAAATTTAGTGTTTATAGTAAATAATTATCTAAGTTAGAAAACTAACCATTTGCACCAAATTGTTGTATAAATACAATGTAATAGGCAAAAAAGAAAAAAGACTGTTACAACATAAGAAAACATATTTGTTGACACAAATCTTTAATTTGTATGTATTTATCTATATTCACTACGCTTTCCTAAAACAACGATTGTAAAAATCTATTGATTAGACATATTATAGTATATTTTGCTTCTATAGAGACATCTGCATATCCTCAACAGAAATGTTGGAATACATCTTTCTGTTTATTTCATTAGAATCTTGAATCATAATGAGAGAATAATTGATGCTTGATTGTATTTGTATATCACTTTATTTGTCGATTTGCTGTGATATTTATCTTTCACATTGATTCATTGGTAAAATGATTCTTTTTTCTAGATTTACAATTTGTGGTGGAGTAAAGTTTTCTTTCGAAAATCTTGGTTAGGAGAATTATTTTGTCCAACATAACTTTTTTTTTAATTGTATTAGGAAATGATTGGTAAATTGGCTTTAAAAACTATGAAAACATTTAATAAAACGTTATGCATCTTAAAACTTTTTTTTTAAATATCGCATATCATCTTTTTTTTTTTTTTCATGTTATGCATTTTTATTAAAACTTATCTTCTGTGATTTTTGTNTTAAAATCAGAGTTACCTATATAAAAGCCAAAATTTTAAATTTTAAACGTGTTTTTGTATAGTATACTGTTTAATTTGG